CTGTCTTTCCCCCGAAGGCGTCCTAGGTAGACGGGTTTCGCTTTTGGCCTTCGGTTTCAGTGGGGGCTTCTTTGCTCCCCTTTGTGACTCCAGCAGCATTCGGCGAGTTGCCTCGCGGGCGCGTTCGTCTGCCACTCGCTTGCGCTCCGTTTCTGCTGCGGCTCGCTGAACCTGATGTTCATCGTCACCCGTCATCTCGCGCTGTTGAGCCTGACCGGAGGCGCCAGGCGGGTTCCCCCGCAATCCAGGAAGGCGATTGAGCGCATCCTTCTCTTCCTGGGTCATAGGCACAAGTCCCCGCGGAGGTTGAATCTCCCAGGCCATAGGGCTCCTGTGAGCCGTGGTTCCGAGACGACGATTGACCTCGTCCATCTCTTCTTGGGTCAATGGCACCAGTGGTGGATGACCCTCTTTTGCAAGAGTGCGGCCTCTGTTCGGGCTTAAGACGTCATTGAAGCCTACAGGACAACCAGGCCTGTGTTCCTGGAAGTCCTGTGAGCAAGGACCGCAAACCGCGTTTGGCCTGTAGCGGCGGCGCTCCTCCATGATGGCTCTCAGCTGTCTCCGCACTGCCTCTATATCGGGACGTCGAATGTTCGTCGCGATCTGATATCCACCCCGTTTGGACCTGCCTTGGGCGCCCCTGTAGGCTGGGTTGCCCTGTCCAGAGGCAGAGTGCACGCCCGTTTGACGCCTAGGGTCGTCGCAGGCGAGCAGCTGGCCCCCTCGTCGAGAGGCATGCTCTGATGGGGCTGCTTGCCTCCACTCACGTGGGAGCCGCGCTTGGGGGTGAGGGTCGTCCCTAAGGCGTGGATGCGAGCGAGACCTCCTGGCCTGTTCGTCGGATGATGCTGCCGACGTAGCCTGAGCAGGAGCCGGCGGGGGTTCCTGAGAGGCCGCGGGCAGCGCATCTTGGGCAGGCAGGTCTCCCTGCTGACTGGAGTCTGGTACAAGTGGCTCTTGTGCGGGTGGTGGTGCGTCAGGACTGTCTGGGTCGAAGTCCACCTCCTCGTCTTCACCATTGACTTCCATCATGAGGATGGCGGTCTCGTCCTCGCACATTCCACATCCATCATCTTCTTCAACTCCTGACATTGGGATGCCAATGACAATGGTCGTTGGCCCAGCCGGGGCGGGCAGGTTCCCCTGCTGCACAGGCGTCTGAGCATCGCTTGGCTGTCCCGGCGTCGGCGGCACGGTAGTCGGCTCAGGCTCGTTACCGAGCACGGCGCGCGCCTCAAGCTGATCATAGTCATATGAGGGCTGCCCGATGACATTCGCATGGCCGCATGGTTGGGCTGTAATCCCACCGCCTGGAGACCCCATCCCGGCGGAGGTAGCGCCTGTCCACGCATGGTGATAGCCCTCTCAAGGGCTTGGCGCCAACGCCCCTTTGCGTACCATACATGTCGCTGCACGTCCTCAGGGAGCACGCTTTCGATGAGAGTTAGGGCCGCCAACAGCAACTCCGAGTCGTCACAGACATCGGTGTCTTGTAGCATCATGTGGCCACTCTCAACACTCTGTTGACTATCGGGATATTTTTTCAGCTTGTACGGCGTGCATCTGCATGAGAGTCTGCAGTGCCGTGTATGGTCCGTACTCGCCTGGCGCGAGCATGCCAGGTGGTTCGTGAGGATTGCCTGGCACGCCCACGGTGAATGCTTGAGCCTCCAATTCCATCAGTTCACCGTAATTTGGCGGATACACTGGAGTGGGCCTGTTTCCAGGCATGAGGTCGGGTTGATGTCGAAGGTTGTGTTCAACCTCCGAAGGCGAGGCCTCAACAGTGACGTCCTCGTCGCTGCTCTCGTAGGCCATGATGTTGCCTGGGTTACCGAACATCCAGTCGAAGAAAGAAAGGGGATGGTTTCCCAGCGTTCCGTTCTCCACAGGCGCAAGCTCGATATTTCCGAAGACGAACCTGCGGAGGTACTCGAGGTTGTACGCGTAGAGCCCATGGCCGCACGCCTCGATCTCGCCCAGACTGTCCATGTTGCTGACCCAAGTGAAAAATATATGTTCCACAGCCTCGAAGTCTTGGAGGCTCAGATACTCAATAGCAGGTTCAATTGAGCCTAGGTGGACTTCGGTCGGTCTACCCTTTCCATTAGCCTTCGCTGGACAATCCTTTTACCAGATGATCGGTACTATCACACTGATGGCACTTCAAGATCTGGCCGTCTCTACCTCGCGGGTTTCCCCGCCTGCCCCTGCCTTTGCCGGAGGTTTCCCCACGGCCTTTTCCACGGCCTTTTCCCCCGAAAAATATCTCCTCATACTGATCATCTGAAAGCCTCTGGAGGAAAGCCGTGATGCCTCGTCCGTTCAACCTTCGGCGACCCCGCTTGCCTTTACCTTTTCCTTTGAAGCTCCTCCGTGTCCCCCTCCTAACACGACGCACTGGTTTTCGTGTACACCTCCTCCACCTACGCTTTGCTTGTTGTGATAACCAGAACAGATGCTCGGCACGCTGATTATCACCTTCAATTTGCATGATATCTGACCAGTCTAGTGGTTCGATGCCATCTGATGATATCGTGTCGGTGTCGGTGCCGGAGTCGAAGTCGTCGTTACCTAAGTAGGTGGATACACCGTCGTTTGGGGGATTCGCTTCGCCCCATAGGGAGCGGTGAGGTTGAGGTTCTCTAGGAGAAGAGCTGGTTGCCCAGCTCGGTTGTGATCGACCCCCTGCTAGTAGGGCAGTAGACTCTCCAGGATCGTCGGCCCATATGTTTGAGGGCCCGTTGCCAGGCTGAGCTTCAGTGGTTAAGGTAGTCTAGAAATTTCCACTGCCAGTTCCCCTTCCCCTTCCAAACACTGATACTATGTCACCAGGAGACCGTTCTGACAAATGGCCTATCGAGCGCATCCTCTCACACAGTTATTCATACTGTTGTTGTGTTCGGGGCATTTGGTGGTTGAGTGGCTGTAAGAGTTGCATGGCTCGCTGGTTGCCAACGCCTAGGGCGCGGAACAGGATAGTCGTAAGCAGTTGGAAGTTGGGAAGGTCAAAACCCACCGACTGTGCCTCAAGACGGGCCATTTCAAACCGAGTAAGGGTTACGTCGATTCGTTCTCCGTGAGGCACATGAAAGTCGATGAGCTGAGTGCCTGAAGTGAGCTGGCGCTCATCTTCCAGGCGTTCGAACTTCATGCTTCAGAGGAACATACTATAGGTTACTGGGTCGGTGTGGACACCATCGATGTCCGCACCATAGTTTATGATGTCAGGTGGTACCCTCATGGCGAGTGTCCTCGCTAGGCCGCCCAGGCCGCGTTGTATGGCGGCTGCTTGGGCTTGTGGCGTCATGCGTCCACTTGTGACGTTAAGCCACGCGTTGGCCTCGTAAACGTACTCACGAAAGGGTACGTTGCCTTGAGGGTCCCAGTATGGGCCATGTGTTTGCCCATCTGTGCTATTGTCTCCTCGACGCATGTATCCGATTGCCGCCCCCAGCGCAAACCATATGATGGCGAAAATAACCAACCCTAGGCTGTGGAGATATGGGTGGTTATCAGGCGCGTTGCCGCGCTGGGATAGGGTTTGCAGCGCCTTGTCAAGTCTACGAGGCGTTTTATCTTGCGGGTCTCCCCGCCTACGCTTCATGTACTGCGTTTTTGGCTCGTTGCCGATCGGTTGATAGTAGCGTAGTGCTGGAGCGCATATGGTACCAATGTTGTCGTCTGGACGTCGTACCTCTCGTGTTGCTTCTTGCTCTTGAATTGATCCTCGTAAATGTAGATGGGGTGGTGGCACAGGGTGGGTATTGGTCACGAAGATCGTGCCGGATAGCGTGAGGATAAGAAGAGCAAGAGCTGACCACATGAGAGTGCGGCCAGCTCCGCTACCAAGTCTGAAATGACTCTGGCAGGTCATATAGCAGCCAATTCCATGTCGAAGGAATACGATATGGGGAGTGGATGGATAGGATGGGATAAGATCGATGTAGTGATCTTTCCAGCACATAGCGAACACTAAGGTAAGCGTCCGGGCAAATAGGGCGCGCGTGCCTTGAGCCAAAAGGCAGCGGCGCGCAGGCGATACTCCCGATCCTCTCTAACATCTCCCAAAGAGCTACCCTTAAAGTGCCCATGCCTGGAATAACTGGCACCCTGAAGCCAGGCACGAAGTCTCAAGTCGTAAGCACATCTGCCTCCGACGTTGTCGTGACTGCGAATGGTGCTGACGAGCTCAGGAAATGTCCTGGCGGTGCTCGGTCCGCAGGTGTTGCACGATAAGCGAGCGCTCCAAATGCTTGGTGTGCGTGCACCTGTGTGCATGTGCACAGGTGCGTCTGGATGTGCGCGTGTACACGTAGGTGTTGCGCTCTCCTCCTGCATGCCCAGCAGTTTTTTATTGTGCGGCGACGCCAAACAGCTGGAGGCTGGGGGCCATCAGGGCACGAGGAGCCACCTTCTGCCCACTGCGGCCACCAAGGCGTGCGAGCGGCTGCTGGCGCCCCAAGTCTCCCTCTGCACAAAATCAGACTGATTTCACCGAGCGCTGTCTCAGCGAGGAAATATTGTTCGACAGCGAAGCTGCAGCTGCGCCACAAGCGAGGCCCAAATCTCGGTCTGCAGCTAGAGCCCTTCCGTATCCTAGCTGTGGCTGCGTTCTGCCGGCGCCAACGGCCCATGTGCGTGAGGCCCAGTACGGTCTGGCGCCCCTGGGGATGCTCTGTGGCAACGCCCCTTCGGACACTGCACCGCCAGACGCCAGAATCAAGCTCCAGCGCTGCAGCCCCTCCAGCCAAACGCGTTCGGTGAATAGTGGCTCGAGCAGTGAGCCAGGGTCTGGCACCTGCTTGGCGCATTCCTCAGCAGCAGCAGCTGCAGTAGCAGCTGCAGCATTCTGTCGCAGCAGGGTTGGCGCAGCAGCGGCAGCTGCAGCAGCAGCAGCAGCAGCAGCAGCAGCAGCAGCAGCAGGGGCGGCGGCGGCGGCGGCGGCGGCAACGCAAGCAGCACCAGAAGCACCAGAAGCAGCATCGGCAGGGCTCCTGGCTGGCGGGGCCACAGACAGCTGGCTGACAACCTCCGGCCCTGCCGCCGAGACTACCTCGGGGCGACGGGTGTGCATCCGATGGCGACACCGAGTTGGCAGAATGCTGGTGGCGCTCTGCCCCCCCTCGCTGTGCGCACCCCTCGGAGTCTGCACCGCCCTGGACGGCCCGAGACCCCCGAGACCCGACCCGACGGCAAAACTGGGAGCCGAAGAAGGCCTCGAAATCCTCCGGGACTTACACCGGATGAAAGACATGTGCTAGTCTGTGTGCGCTCTGCTGTCCAGGCGCTTCTGCCCAGAATGGTGTCGAGAAGGCCTCTGAGAGCCCCAGGACGACCCCAGAGAGCCCCAACAGGCCGAAAAGATGGCCCGAAGATGGCCCGAAGACGACCTAACACGGCCCCAGAACTCCCGACGGCGGCAGAGACCACCCCAAGAGGGCTCGAAGAAGGCGTCGAGGCCCGACCAAACAGCCCCAAGATGGATCTCAGCCCCCCAAAGTTGCGCGATGCAGCGCGCATCACACTGGCCTCTCAAGGGGGGAGCCGACCAGGAGTGTATCACGGGCCTGGTAGCGCACAGGAAGGCAAGGGCGACGAGACGCATGAAGACAATATGGCAAAGTTGATGTACCAGGGTCCGCGCGCTGTTTGTTTTGCAGCACTTGGTGGGAATTCAGGATCGAGCTTACCGGGAAGTGTGGGCATGTGTGTTGCCTCCTAGTCGCCACGGCTGGAATGGCCTCGAAATCTGGGGGTCGGAGCGCATCTCAAGACGGTCCCATGAGAAGACGTCCGTACTTTTGCGTGGTCCATCCCTCCTTCCCTCGCTGTGCTTCACCTCCTCCTGCTGCTGCTGCTCGTCCTCATCCTGGCGTCGACGACAATTCGAACTCCTCCCACGGAGCCTAACGCCGACAGCTTGCTCGCACTCGGAGCCTCCCAAGTGCAAGCCGACAAGGGTCGTTCTACGGGCCCGTGGCCGCCCAGATTGCGGGGGGCCGTCAGCTAAAGTGGCCACTTCGGCAGGGCAATCGCCCCTTTCCAGAGCCACAAAACCACCACGATGTAGCGTCGGAGCGTTGACCTAAGGAACCCAAAATAAGGAACGAGGCCCCTTTTCTCCAGAAGTTCAACTTCGACTTCCCATCGAAAATCCAAGGAGAACCTTGGGCAAAATGAAAAACAATGAAGGAACACGGAGCCCCTCCCCAATGAAAAGGGTTCCTTATTCAGAGCCCCGACTGTAGCAGGCATGGCACTTGGGCCTCCAAGGGGGAGCTGGCCAGGGGAGTGTCACGGGCCCGTTCGTGCCCTGATTGCTGAGACCTCCCAGGCGCCCAAATGGCAGGACCCAGTCACAACTGCTGAGACGTACTAGAACTCTGATCCAATCACCTCAAGCCCACTCATATCCAGAGTCGCTAGTCAGCGGTACAAACACAATCAGGCCCGCTCGCACGCAGATTCATTCGCGTCCAGGCGCTCATGCGTAAACTCACTCATGATCAGCCACTCGTATGTTCGCCTACACGCAAGAGTGACCCTAGGCGAGAGTGACCTTTGGTGCGCGGACTGTGGGGGTGCAAGGTGGCCCAATCAAAGCGCGCAAGCAGCCGCCATCGCATCGCGAACAGCGATCGGGGGACCCCGATGAGCCCGCACCAAAGGTCACTCCGGCGAAGGGTCCCTCTAACGTATAGTCGATATGTCGACTCGCTCAAACTCAGACTCGCGTGGGCCTGGACACTCAAAAGAAACCAGAAAAGACCGCGCCGGAAAGTGAATCCGCACGGTCATGAGAGCCTCCGCGTCGAGATGTCGAGGGCCACGGTGGCCGAGACGAGCCTCCAGAGGCCGAGCTCGAGAGCAGCGCTGGCATTGACAGAGCACGACGTCGAAGGTATGGGCTCTCATCTGGTGGTCTTGGCTGCCCCGATGCGCAACACGCACCGCGCAGCGCGTCGACACGGAGCTCAACACGTAGACCGAGAAAGCGCAGGTCTGGCGCGACACGTTCGCCAAGACGTGGGCCAACACGTTGAGAGCCAACACGCAGCGCGTGGGCACGGGCGCTCTGAACACCGGACGGGTCGCGTTTCGAGACGGGCGTGCCAGGGCAGCAAAGCTCAGGAGGGGTTGGGGAACTCGACGCTGCACTGAGCAGTCCGCCGTCGAAGTCGGGAGCCCCCTGCCCCACGCGCACGAAGCTCCAGGGGCCCTCCAGACCTCCGGGGGGCCTCCTAACATCTGACCCATCGGTCGAACAAGTGGGTAGAAGCATGGAGGAGCAAGACGTCGGGAGCAGATTGGGTCTCCGCCCGCCCCCAGAAGACGAATGCGGAGGGATAAAAGCCACTCGATCATTGAGATGGGAAGGCGCCTCAAGCAGACTGGAATCTGGGGATCCACGAACACGTTCCGTCAGCGCCCGAGGGGCACAGAAAACCAGAAGACACGCCAAGATGACGAGGCACCCGACTGGCATGGGGAACGGAGGAGCACCGCCCCCGAAGGAGGGCACGCAGAGGAGAGAGCACCCCGCGACGCACTGAGGCAGGTGAGGCCTCCCGAGATCCCCGACAAGCTGACTGTCTCTCGGCGGCATGCGAGGGGGGGGGGAAGCGAGGAGGAGCAGGCCTGATCAGAAGGCGGCGGGACTTCTCAGAAGCGCTCGGGCCTTCTGAACTGTCCTCTGTGCCTTCGGGGCATGCCCAGAACGCTCCTGGGAAGGGCCTGGGCCCTCCGGGCCTGCAGGCTGAGGAGTCCCGTCCCTTCTCACCTTCCCCCCCTGGGCTCGCCGCCGACCGACGATCTGACTGTTCCGATCCGATCCAGGCGTGCCGATTCGAGCTCGGCCTCTGGGCTCTGGGGCCGTTCTTCGGGCCCCTTGGGCCCGGGCGCCCGGCTCCGGGGCGAAAGGGCAGCCCCTCCCCCAGCTGTTCCTCCTCCTCCTCCTCCTCCTCCTCCTCCTCCTCCTCCTCCTCCTCCTCCTCCTCTCCTCCTCCTCCTCCTCCTCCTCCTCCTCCTCCTCCTCCTCCTCCTCCTCCTCCTCCTCCTCCTCCTGCAGGGGTCGGGACCTCTGGGGCCGCACACTGGAAAGAGCAAGTCGTCGGACGCTCGGGCCTGAAAGTCTCCGATCGAAAGGACAATCAAGCCTACGCGTCGTTCATTTCTAATCGTGATCATTTCTAATTGTGCTCGTTTCTAATTGTTATTGGCCCCCTAGTGGCCAGGAAGATGCCCAGGACAGAACAATCAGAAACGAAAGGATCTTGGCCCCTCAAAAGTCAAAGAACCTCCGAAGATTTAGAAATGAACAGCGTGTACGAGGATACTGACGCGTTTTGTGCGCCAAGCGCAGGGAGCCTTCGCCCTCCGGGGGGCTCCTCTAGGCCGAAGTGGCACTGCACAGCAGGCACAGGACGAGGGTCGCTGGCGTGCACTCGGAGGCGCAAGAGAAGCCACGAGAGCGGCCACAGAGCCTCGACCCTCGCGGGTCGGGCGGGAGAGGTCCACCCGGGACGCCAGAGGCATGCAGCCGTCGCACCACCGCAGGAGCGCCGAACAGGGAACGAAGGGGCGCTTCTGGCCACGGCGAGCCCCGGCCTCGAATGGGCTCCACGAGGATGCAGGATGCAGGAGGAGGAGGAGGAGGAGGAGGAGGAGGAGGACGAGGAGGAGGAGGAGGAGGAGGAGGAGGAGGAAGAGGAGGAGGAGGAGGGAGGAGGAGGAGGAGGAGGAGGAGGAGGAGGAGGAGAGAGGAGGAGGAGGAGGAGGAGGAGGAGGGGAGGAGAGAGGAGGAGGGGGGGGGGGGAGGAGGAGGAGCAGAGGGGAGGTCCAGAAAGGTCCCTTGGTCAATCTACCCTTGGCCCCTCTCACGCCGCTCACTCGATCGCCGCCATTCGCCCATCGGCAGGTCGGGGCGAGGCGAGCAGCACGGCGATGAGGGAGAGGACGGGCGGAGCCGAACGGCGTGTGCAGAATGACAATCTGACGCAGGCGCACCAGCGAGCACTCTGACAGAGCAAGACGGTCAGAGAGAGAGGCAGGGAGGGAGAGACGGGAGACCATCGCAACAATCCAGAGAAAACGACGGCATTCAATATAGTGAGATCTGACAGAGCAAGACGGTCAGAGAGAGAGGCAGGGAGGGAGAGACGGGAGACCATCGCAACAATCCAGAGAAAACGACGGCATTCAATATAGTGAGATAGGCTATCTCGGGCGCATTCGCACCCGAGCAGGCAGCCCTGGTCGACATGCCTTAATCTTGTATCAGTGACCCACCCCCCAGTCCACGTACGGATGGCGGCCATCCGCCAAGAGGGGGGGGGCCTTTGCAAGCATTGAATTAATTGCCCCCCAGTCGAATGACGCTGAGGCCTCGAGAGAGATCGAGAACCACTTCACAAGGCGGAGACGCAGGCAGGCGATAAGAGAACGAGGAGGGGAAGAAGGGGCACAAGGAGGGGACAGATAAATAGCAGGACGGGTACCTCTCAAGAGAGCTCGCTGCATTTTGAGTATGTGACCGCCCCTGCCAGCAGCGCCAGATCGTTCTACCCTCTGCGGCGTAGAGCGTTCTCGCGCAGCACGACGCTCGGCCTCAAGGGCCGCCAGCCCTTCGAGGGCCGCCGCACGGTCCCGCGCTTCCGCCGCCTCCCGCAGAGACCACGCCACCGCCGGCTCCCGCCAGAAGGAGGGCCAGTGGCAGAGCTCCTGGGCTCCGATAGGGCCGCGCCAGTGCAACTGGCCAACTTGGGCATGCTCCCACGCAGCGGCTTCGAGGAGGCCGCACATCCTGGACCAGCACTTCTTAAAAGACAGGGCCGTCCTCATCCTAGCGGCGAGAGCGTTGCTTCGGATGCCCTGGACCCGCGGACCACCGAGGGAGTCGAGGTCAAGGAAGCAGGAGGCAGAGAGCCAGGATCCAGGAGCCCGAAACACACGAGTCAGGAGATCTTTCTCTCGCCGCTGGAGGGACCGAGGGATCTCATATAGTTGCGACTTGTAAGAGAGCACACTGAGCGCTCGCTCGTGGTAGAGCGATATATTGGCATCAGTGTCGGCGTGGGGCCGTGCCAGTGCGGTAACGCGGTGCTCCAGCTTCGCTACTGGGGCTGCCCACTGCTCTTCATTCACAGCCGCTGGGCCTACCGTACATCCGAGGTACTCGAGCGTAAGGCCAACCCTGAATTCGGCCCAAGGAGCACACACTGAGGCTAGCATCTCGGACGTAGGAGCACTGAGATCGTCCGACCACGGTGCCCAAAGAGGGGTGGCACAACAGTTCGAGGGCTTTAAAGCGAGACCTGCCAGTCTGTCCGAGTTCTTGAAAATCCTAGCGAGCTCCCTGAGGCCAGCCTTTCCCCACGCCACCGCCCCCACGTCGTCCGCGCACCACCTCCCGACTCCCTTGCCAGCGGCCTCGAGGGTGCGCTCCATATCCGCACAAAACGGATGAGCCGCTGGCACGAACAGACTACCAGAGAGAGGATCGCCCTGGAGGACCCCAGCAAGGATGAGGAAGAGGAGGCCACGGGAGCAGTCGGAACTAACGGCGGCAGCCATAAGGTAGTTGGCGCGGATCGCATTCACAAGGGCCTCAGGGGCACCCCATTGGGACAGGACCTCCCAGAGCCACGAGTGGGCCACCGAGGGGAAAGCATGAGCATAGTCAAAAGCCAGAAGCAGAGGCGAGGCGAAGTCAGGTGGTGGATGATTCAGAGCACGCATGCTTGCGATTCTCGCGTGACTGTCGAGCTCAATTAAATTCTCGAGAAAGTGGCGCTCACAGATAAACCCGCGCTGGCTGGGCGCCACTGCCGCTTTCACCGCTCTCTTCAGAGGGTGGTTCAGGGCGGCGCTGATCGCCTTGGCCCCTGCATTGCGCAGCGACAGCGGGCGCGCGCAGCCAGGTGCCCGCGAGACGCTCATCATGTCGGCCGCCAGCGCGCCCTTCGGGAGGAAGACGCTGATCGCATGGTTGTAGTCCGAGCGCATGGGCAGGCCATCCAGCGTCCACACCAAGGCGCGGTGGAGAGCCTCAGCGCCACCATCGGCCACAGCCCAGGCCGCGGCTGGGAGCCCGTCAGGGCCAGGAGCCGCAGGGCGCGCACGTCGGAGGGCCTCCCGCACTGTCGCCACTGTGGGTGGGCAGAAGGCGTCCCAGTCGACCGCGGGGACCCCGAAGCGCTTCAGGTAGGCCGGCTGCTCTCGGGCCCTCTGCTTGGAAATTGCAGGTGGCGTTGGCGGGCAGAATACCTTGCCCCAGTGCTGGCCCAGCGCTGCGTTAATGTCGGCGGCTTCGGTCAGCTCGGTGCCCTCCGTCTCCAGGCACGCGAGGTATCGCCGAGCGTTGAAGGAAGCCCAAAGCCGCGCCCGTCGCCTCAGAGCCCGCTGCTGAGCCACGAGCTGGCGCCGTCGGCATTCAGCAGACTCCTGCTGGGCTGCCTCTTCAAGGGCGCGGCGCCTGCTCGCAGCGTCCGTCCTCTGTGCGATGTTGTATCTCCTCTGGAACTCCGCATAGTCAAGGATCTCCACCGAGCAAGACTGCGCCGAGGCTTTGACCAGCTCACGCGCCCAGGCATTCTGCGCCACCACCAACTGCGCCAGCTTCCAGTCTTGGCGCCAGAACGCCCTAGCCAGTTGGCGCCAGATGATGGCTGAGGCCCCCTTGGTCCAGCCCTCGGCCACGAGGGTCTCATTCTGGACGTCCTTGGCCGCTGCCTGCAGGATCCGCGTGAAGTACTTGTATTCGTCGGGTGGCTCTTGGCTCTGTAGAGGGACCATCGCCATGTACCCGTCAACGATTTCCTTGAAGCGCGGCCGCTGGACCACGGCAAGGGGGATGGCCGCTGGCGTGTCAGGGTGTCGGTGTCCAGGCGTCCTCCGCATCAACGATGCAGTGACCAAGGAGTGATCGCGAATCCCTCTGGTGTGCAACTCGCGAGCTTCGCCTCGGACTTGACATGTCTGCCAGCCTTGGCATAGCTGCCACCTCGGGACCCCCACGAACACACGGTCGATGGAGGAGCTGGTGCGCGTGCTAGCGTTCCAGTGCGTTGGCTTGCCTGGCATCATCTCCGTGGACTCCCTCATCGCCTCCAGCCACTGCCGCTGGCCAGGGTGGCGGGCCAGACGTGCAGTCTGGCCGGATGCGGGAGCCGCATGTGCACGGCTGCCACCGCCACTGCTGGCCTGCGCGACATGCGCCTGCTGGGGCTGGTCGTCATCCAGGAAGTTGTCTGTCTCGTCGTAGTCGCCGAAGTTGAAGTCCCCCACAATGAAGGTGGAGCGGGTGGCGGGGCACTGGTGTGCCCAAGCCAGGTCCTGTCGAAGACGATGGGCGGCGCGTCGTCGTTGATCAGGTGAAATATCGTGGTTGTGGATGTTCCAGTGGATGAAGCTGCACGGCTGACTCCCCATAGCCGTGGAGCGAATTTCACCACAAAGCCTGAGAATGCGGCCAGGGACCACTTCCTCGGGAACAAAATCGCAGGCATAGCCATCAGCAGCTGCTGGCACCACCGTGGCCACACCTCCTGCATCCTCTCGACCTCCTGTCATACACGAGGCAAAGCAGCAGAACGGTCTCCCCAGTCGCTCCAAGAGTACATGCATGCTGTGCTCGGAAGCATGCGTCTCCTGCAGCGCTAGCAACATTGGCCCCTTCCAATGTCTCTGGATATATGCAAGCTTCTTCTTGATCTTCATGGTGGCATTCTTCCCAGACTGTTTCAGCGCCCTACAGTTCCAGGTCCCCAGGTGCACACCATCTCCGCCACCTCCCCACGCACGTGATAGAGCGTCAAAGAGTCCACTGCTGCGCCTCTGGCTCCAGGACACGATCCACCACCGCCTGTAAGGCTTCCTGTGTCTGGCCGATCGCGCGCACCGCCACCATGTTCCACGAGACCGTCGGCGTGGCTCCTGGAGACGCAATGGAGAGCTTGAGCAGCTGGCGCCATTTGACCGTGATGGCATTGGCTTCCTTGTCTGCGAAGAGTCGTGCTTCGATCGTCTCCTGGAGGGCGGCCTTGATACGCTTGAGGTAGATCTCGTGCGAGATTTGGGACTGGTTGCGGTCGCGGCCCACGCTGAGGCAGACGCTTGGGCCATTCGGCAGCACTGCAGCGAACTCTCTCCACGTAGATGGGCCTGTGCGAAGGAGGCCCACGAGCTTCCCCACCCGCCTCGTGGCCAGGCCCACAGCACCCACACAGCGGAGCTTGAAGTGTCTCCCCATCTCCTCACCCTCCAGCCTTGTCGCCTCTGGGGTGAGGTTGTGCAGCTCAGCGTCCACCAGGAGCTGCTGCAGCGCTTGCGCGACCGCCTCCTTCGGAACGTTCGAGCGCGCCACGATGGACAGGATGGGGGGGTCGATGGGCCTGGACCAGCCCGTCTCCAGCATCGGGGTCTGCGGGGTGGCCGACGCCACGACTCCCATCTCCGTGCGGAGGTCGGCCATCTCTTGCCGAAGGCGGCCGAAGTCTGCCATCCGCTGCTCCATGCATCCCAGGCGCGAGTCCACAGCGGCGAAGCGGGCGTCAATGGTTTGGGCGAACTCCTGCTGGGTGGACTGGAAGATCTGCGAGAGGTTGTTGGTGGTGGACTGGATCTGGGAGCCGAGACGGCGTTCCATGTTGGCAAGCATGCTGGAGAGGTTCGCCGAGCCAGCGGCGGCGGCATTCGCTCCTCCTGCTGCAGGCGGTGGGCCGAAGCGTTGTGCGGCCGCTGCCGCCCATGCATCCTGTTCGCCATGCTGCGGAGGATGCTGCGATGCGAAGGTCGGCATGAGCTCGAGCGCCTCGACATCGCCCTCGGAGAGCACCGTGCCACGCGGCACTCCCTCAGCAGCACCTCCCTCCGCATAGCCGCCAGATCGGCTTCCTTGGGTAGCGTGCGGCGGGGTGGGGGGCACCACATCCCAGCCAGAAAGGCGGGCGTCTTGCTGTCGACGTAGGCGTGGCGTGGCCTCTTCACCAGCGGTGGCTTGCTGTCGTCGTTCCCTGCGACGTTCACCACGGCGGCGATGTTCGCTGCGGGAGGTGCTCCTGCTGCCCACAGTGACGGGCGAGGAGCTGCTGGTCTGCCTGCCACCACCGCTGCCACCAGCACCGCCATCGCCAGCCTGCATGCCGTCCCGCGCTGGGCCCATGGTTTCGAAGCAGATGGCGTTCGAGCCGACAGGAACGGGAAATGCCTCCGTTTACCCCTCGGCCCGAGCGCAGGTGCGATGGCCCAGAGAGGACGCCAGACTTCAGGAAGTCTTGCCCGCCGCGGACTAGCGGTATCCGCTTTGTTCCCAGGGGAAACCTGCATCTTGAGCCAAAATGGCTACGGAAGGAGGAGGAGCAGCAGGAGGAGGAGGAGGAGGAGGAGGAGGGGGAGGGGGAGGAGGAGGAGGAGGAGGAGGAGGAGGAGGAGGAGGAGGAGGAGGAGGAGGAGGAAGATCGGTCCGAAAACCTCAGCCCCTCCTGAGCCCAAAATGGTTATTCCTTGACCGTCTGGACTGTGTGCTGTCACCGCCGCCGGCGTCTCTGCGGGGCCAGCCCCCCCGAGGCCGCCGAAGCCGGAGCCGCCGCGGACAGCGCGCTGGGGGGCGCGGCGGAGACGACGGACCGCGCCTCGCGCCGTCGCCGCGCACGGGGGGGGGGGGTCAGGGCGCCCCAGCCGTACTCGTCGTCGGCGGCATCGTGGCCCCAGATCTCCGTCGACGTGTGAATTTGAACCAGCCCCGGGCGGTTTTCCTCGGTGCCGGCCTCTGGGGCCCACCAGCGAGCGGGCCCCGGGACCATCAGAAACTGATCTGGGGCGAAAAACTTGCCCTGGGGAAGGGGTCGGGACCTCAGGGCCGCACATTGAAAAGGCCATATCGTCAGATGTCTGGGGTCGATATCGTCGGCCATCGAATCCACCATGCGATGATCGTGCGTAGTGCCGTCCACCGCGATGCCAATCGAGGACTCTGGGCAATCGACCTTCACGGCATCAAGTTCTGACGAGCTCTATTGCCGATGGAACCCATGACGTCGGGCAAGCATCGCGCCATGACTTCGTACTGTTTCACAGCAGCTGCCAAGAGAAAGCAGCTGTCCACCTAAATGGCCGATTTGATCGCGATGCCAGACTTGGGCGAAACAATTCACACCCCAAGACCAACACATAATTGTCCCATCCATTCATCAGGAGGCGTTTGGTCTTGGCGGCTCCAAGCATACTGGAAGCAACGCTCGTTGACGACATCTCACGCGCAAGCGCAAAAATCTGGCAATGCGTCGCCCCTGCTTCCTGCAGCACCCGCGTGGTGTCCGCGTGCTCCACGACATCGAAAGCAAAGCGTATATCCGAGGCTCGCAAGTTCAAAACCCTACCCCACGTCACAGCAAAAGACAAAGCCTCAAATGGTAAACCGAAGCAAAGCAGTCCTTTACGGATGAATCTCTCTGGCACCCAGAGTTTCTCGCCCTGGGCAGAAATCGCATCAATACCGTTGCTGACCGTAGCGGAATGCCACGTGCATTGCTGACTCTTCATGCCCAGCCATCAGTATCGAGACCAGCTGCCAGGTTGCGTTTCCTAATGGATACCAAGCAAAATTCACTCCCTTGGTGTCGGGAAAATTCCGATCGACATCCCCGTGCAGCTCAAGAAAACCTTCGTGGATCTGCCATTCACCCGAAGTGGCAAATGGCGCCACAGACTGCATGGCACTTGATCTGGTTCCATCATCGTTTTCATCCGCCACCTGCTCAACCTCCTCCTCCTCCTCCTCCTCCTCCTCCTCCTCCTTGTCTTCCTCCTCATCATCATCATCCTCACCATCATCATCATCATCAGCTTCATCATCACCATCACCATCATCATCATCATCAGCAGCAGCAGCATCATCATCAGCATCATCATCCGTCCTTTTCCTGATAATGTTTCCTCCCTGTCGCACCCCCAGGCGCGTCGGTACGACCAGCCGGGCGTTTCGCCCGAGACTTCCTCGCCGCTCATGGACCTGAAGCTTGGAAGATACAAGAATTTCAAAGATGGAGGGCGGTTCGCTCTCAAGATGTGGCGCTCGCCGCCGCGCCGCGCACACTCGTCTCAAGAGTCCGCAGCAGCTGCATCTCTCGCTCCAGCGCCGCGCACAGTCGCCATAAAAAACCCACAGCCGTGTCACGGATGGACGGCGGTTCCTTATGAAAATGTGGCTCTCGCCGTAGCGCCGTGCACCTACGTCTGATGAGTTTACACCATGTTCAAGGATTCGTACGACTGAGGTCCCAGAAGCGGTTTTTTTGGCACGATGTGGGATCGTCACGATGCAACAACCGCGTTGCTCCGCGGCGCTGAAATCCCCAATATTGCGTTCTGGTGCGGCTGGTGATTGCCAGGACGCAACAGTCACGTAGATTCGCAGCGTTGACGTATCAGGACTGGCGATCTGGCGTGATTTAGGATTATCAGACGGTTGACCTTCAATGGGGCACTTCCCACCATGAAAATACATTCTTATGGGAACAGATCGAGAGAAAACATAGCAGGAAGGTTTAGTGCAACATCACTGATGCGTCTTGGGCTTGCACTGGTCATCCTCCTTCTCCGCCTCCTCCCTCCATCCATCCATCACCCCTTCCCTTCCTCCTTTCTATTCCTGCTCCCTCCTTCCCTCCCCATCCTAGGGCGCCGAGTCTCCAAGAAGCGACCTGATCCTTCCTCTAGTATCTCCTCCTCTTCCTCCTTTTCCTCCGTCTCCCTCCTTCCTCATTCCTCGTTCATCTTGCTCTTACTGCTCCTCCTCCTCCTCCTCCTCCTCCTCCTCCCCCTCCTCCGCCTCCTCCTCCTCCCTCCTCAGTATTCCTCCTACTCCTCCTCCTCCTCCTCCTCCTCCTCCCCTTCCTCGTCCTCATCCTCCTCCTCCTCATCCTCCTCATCCTCCTTCTTTTAAAGCTGGGCAAACCTTAGGACAGAGCCTGCGGCGTTAATGTGGGCAGTGGAAAAACAGATCGGCCGACTCAGCACTGCAACGATCAAATTACGCCTGGCTGGCGCAGCGGCAAAAAGAGAGGCGTGAGGACATGGAACAAAGCAGCGGGCCCGCAAGCGCACAGAGTATGCGCCAGCCAGGCGGTGAAGCTCCTTTCCTTATGATCCCCCTCTCACCCATCTACCCCAAACCCTTCCCAGGCCAAGGTCCTTTACGAGGGACAGTACGGCAGTTGCTGACAAAAAACCCTCGCCGAGGGATTACGTATAGATATGTTGGCAGCTTTCCTCCTGCCGCTCCCAGCGCCACCTCTACAACCCAGTCCCAGGCCCTGACCGCGGGCAGTGCTGCGAGGGCGAATGTGAGGTGCCCTGAGTAGCTGGCGGATGTGGCTAGCTGTTGGCATTCTGGCGGCCGTTGAGTGCGGCGCCCAAGCGGCGCCAGTGAGAGAAGCTCCTCCGCCCTACCACGCCCCCGCTTCCCCCACCACCGCCACCTCGTCCTCCACATCCTGCCGGCGTCTGCGGTAGGACTGGGCCAATGTACCGATGCCCGTCCAAATGGCGTAAAAAGGCTTGAAAGGCCGATGTAACAATTTCAGAGAGCACACGATACCCTTATCGATGGAGTTTGGAAAAACAAAATGCAGATACGACCAAGTCACGATAGGTCCACTCTTTACCACCATACGGTGGGGGGCATTGAATAAGGAACCATTGGATAAGGAAGCCAGGGTCTGGAAGCCAGTGGAACTCCAATCGCGTTGTGGCAGTAGATATTACCGCCGCCCTCATCAGATAAGGAACCCTCCAGGGTCTGAAGCCCCCCGGACACATTCCTTAACCAACGCCCACACCGTATTATACCACCGCAACGGCCACCCCACCACCTCCAGCATCCCGAGCCCAAGACGACCAGCACTGCCGAGCAATGTGTGCAGTCGCCGTCGTTCCACGGCTGCTCCACTTGCGTGCACGCAGGAGGATGTAACTTCGCGTGGCATCCGAATCCAAAACGCTGCCGCCCCGAAAGAGCAACGATTGAAAAAGCCAGTCTTAATGCAAAAGCAGGTCTTGGGCCAGTCCCAAAGCCATCCCCAACATGACATCCACAGAAGCACGACCAAAACAAGCGGTGCACGCACGAGGTTGAATGCTTCGCATGGCTTCAGCTCCTCCCCCACCCTACCACCACCCACCCCACCCTACCACCGGCTCCTCCGCATCCTCGCAGTCATCACGCCAAAAATGACTGGCGTGAAAGGTCCCTCATCGGCCCTGCTGCCTGGGCGAGGGCCGCCGCGGTCAACGCGCTCGCAACGGTCGATACGCTCGGCGCGTAGCATCGGCGAGTGCGCAGCAGAGCAACGCGCGCAGATACAGCGCCCCCACCGAGCGAAGCAGAGCGGCCTGACGTGCACTCCCTGCCGGGAGTGGCCCCCTGCTGGCAGTCGAGAAACTGCCTGGACAGGCCGTGGATGGTGAAACGTGGAAACTACAATCGAAACGAAGATTCGTGGGTTCGCGTCAGCCCACCTCCCGTCAGCTGACCTCTCGACGGTGCCCCCACACAGGGCGATGCGACACCAGATCACGGTCGCAACGATGAGATCGACCTCCCCCACGCCACACCTCCTCACCGCCACAACACCTCCCCTCTACTATGACCCGGTCATCACGACTGATGGCAGAAAGAGGCGGCGTCTCACACACACACACACACAAAACATCTGAGGTCTCTCAAAAACCATGGTCTGCCCCGGTGGCCACGTGCCTCGAGGGTTCACCGCTCACGGCAGGGAAGATAGACGCGGACCGAGGAGCGGGGCTACACTCGCCGCCGCTCGTCTCGGGCGCCCCTGCGCGGGGACGTGCGCCACAACAGCAACGTGCTCGGCCCACAACGGGCTGCAGAGGAAGCAACCGAGCGCTCGCAACGACTGCCGTCTGCTCCCCTTCCACCATCCGACCCACCTCCCTCCTCCAGTCGCCCTGCCTCGCCGAAACTGTGCCGGGCCGGTGCCTTCTGGCGGCGCCAGCCTCGCGATAGAGCCCCCCGCCATACCTGGCACCCGTCACCCAGACCCCATCCCGCCCAAACCACAGGAAGAGCGGGGCCTCACTTGCAGATGGGAGTGAGAGAGAAGATGCAACATATAAGATAATCGTGATTATGGTGGTGCAACAAACTATAAACCTGTCCCGGCGTACCAGCTGAGAAGCGCTGAGTGTAACATGTCATCATCAACGTATAGACTGCCTAGAACCATTCGATTCCCGACAGCGAAATACGGGCAAAACTGAGATTCTGCGCACCCACCCTCGTTTCGCAGTAACTTCAAAATAAATGCTATGTTTTCATCCGTTGCTTCTTGGATCATGCCGTTGGCTTGGCGGTACTAAGCACGCACAATGTCAGGAATGGCGTCGGCTGGGTAACACATGTTGCCACACGCGTCTAGCAAATAGTGGTAAGCCGGCTGCGGGGACGGCAGCACTTGGAAAACAACGTTGATATGTGGAACAGATACACGTCGTTCATTTCTGATCGTGCTCATTTCTAATTGTGCTCGTTTCTAACTGTTCCTGGCCCCCTAGTGGCCAGGAAGAGGCCCAGGATAGAATAATTAGAAATGAGAGGATCCTGGCCCCCCAAAAAGACAAAGAATTCTCGAATAATTTTAAATGAATAATGTGTACCTGTTCAGATCCATGTTCTCTCCTGGCTCTTGCGCACTGGACTGTGAACTTCAGCCAGGCCGGGGCTTTCGAGGGCGTCGTGGACCGCGCCTCGGGGCCTCCGCCTTCTCCCGCCGCTGCAGCAGTTGATGCACAAGAGCTGCTCCGTACCTGCGCAGTCAACTTTACAAGAAACGCCTGCCGCTGGGTTGCCGAGGATGTCAAATGCAGCGTCTGGGAGGCCTCCACCCTCCCTTGGAACCTCCTCCTCTGCTCGATTGGAGATGGCGTATGGAATATCATCTTCCTCCTTCTCCGCCTCCTCCTCCCTCCTTCCCTCCCTCCCCCTCCCCCTCCTCCCCCTCCTCCTCCTCGTTCTCCTCCTCCCTCCTCCACAGCCACCTCCTCCTCCCTCCTCCTCCTCCTCCTCCTCCTCCTCCTCCTCTCCTCCTCCTCCTCCTCCTCCTCCTCCTCCTCCTCCTCCTCTTCTTGCTGTTCCTTCCTGCTCCCTCCCTGTTTCCTCCTGCTTCTTCCCTCGCCACTCGACGACGCCGATGCCTGCGCCGACGACCTCCCCTGCCGCGCCTCTGCCGCGCCGGCGGAGGCCGCCAGGGCGTCCTCGGGGCTGAGGTTCGGCAGCCAGCCGTGGCCCATGCACAGCGGCTGCACCCGCAGGCGCTCCGCCTGGCGCTTCTTCGGCGGCGCGCAGCACACCAGATCGCCTAACTTCGCGCATCGCACCCCGCAGTGCGCGGCGCGCGGATGTCTTCG